TATTAAATGACAGAACTCACAAATAAAAGACACAAAAGATTTAATTGTTCTAAGCTCGAAGTAGAAAAACTGTAGGCAACGATTGTATTTATACACACCTTCACTGGTAAAGCTACTCTTGTTGAGCTGGCGATTAATATTTGTCAGATGAGGTAATAAACCTATGTACCCTTTTCAATATACAGTGTGTTCAAACTAATAAAACTGTTTTAAATGAGTCACCCTGAAATAATATATCAAATTCTGCCTGTCATAAGAGGCTACTAAAAAAAATTCCCTATATACCTCCTGGAGGATGCACACTAATGAGGCCTAAGGCAGTGAAGCTGAGCACCCTCTTCAACAACTTTTCAGATTCAGAATGTCAAATTATACAGAATGAGTTATTCAAATTGATATATTGGATTTGTTACCTACAAATATGGGTTTATTACCTAATTTAACAGTAGGAATAATCTTTTATATGAATGTATTCCATTAATTATATTACTATTTTAGAGACCAATGTAAATAATGAATATGAAGAATATCTAAAGGAAGGAAAAGATGTACATAAGAAATCAGACGTGCTAGAATATTTAAAAAAAATATTTTCTATTAAAAAGAACGATATAAAAGAAAAAATCAGTAGGCATCCGTATTACTTGCAAGTGCCGTTGAAAGATATGCAGGAGACCTATGACTATTTAGTTTCAAATAGTTTCACGTCATGTAGTATCTACAAAGTTATATACATTCTTTTATATCCTGTGTAAGTATTTTTTATTTTACAAAGTTATTTAAACATTTTTTTGTATTATGTTAAGACTTAATAATTTGACAGATATACATTGGCACTTTAATATAGTAGGCTGTAATTTGTAATCTTTGACATCTAGGCGATTTCGTTTATTTAAATTTTCGACAGAATTCTATATCTCGGGAACCACAAAAGTAGGTACCATGATTTTGGTGTCATTTTGCTTCTCTAAGTGTCCCTAGCTTATATCTTAGTCTGATAAGGTTTTGGCTTTCTCTATCTCGAGATCGTGGCACGGACCGACAGACATTGTCACTTTTTTGGCATTATTTTTTACTTCCCTCTATAAAATTGAAGTATTAGAATCATGAAAAAGTCACATTTCGAGATTATTTCAGATTTTCACGTTTCAGGGTCTCTAGATGTTTCCCCATTCTGTCTTTTGGCACGATAGCTCAAAAACGGCTTTATATAAAAACTTCAAATTTTGTATGTAGAATGTAGATAAAGTTCCTTTCTGCCTCAAACCCAGTTATACTTCCGCTCAGTATTATACAGGGTGAGCAGTTTTTAAAATAATTATTTCGACTAAAATTGGTATCTGAGAATTTTAGAAGTCAAAGATTACAGATCCTAAATAAGTTTTTAAAAATTCAAAACGGCGCTGAAGGCAATCGTATTTAATAAAAAAAAGACCCACTTGAATGGAAATAATAGAGTAGAGTAGTTTATTCATGTTAATGCTACCAAAACTGAACTGAATTCGACTCTGACAAAAAATATTTGCGCGTCGTCTAAATGACTAACGACCGATTAACCAATAGAAGCGCAAAAAAAATGCCACGTGAGCTGTTGCTGGATGGGAGAGATTGTTTTGACGCGGCGTAAATGAAATCTGAATAGACTTTAATAAATTTTTTATTGGCAGCTAGCAAAACACCTCCACCGTAATTTAATTTAACTCGAGAAGTAGATCTATCCTTTCTATATACATGATAATTATCGGAAAATATCTCACAGCTACGAAAAGATTCGGTTAACCAAGTCTCTGTCAATGCTACAAAATCAAAATCGGACTGAAGAGAAAACAAGTATATGGTATTTATTTTAGTTCTAATTCCACGGACATTCTGATAATACAGATAGCAGGTCAAGTTTTTATTAGAAATATTAAATGAATTATTTTGCGGGTGTAGAGCTGTACCACCAATGGTTAATACATCCGACTGATTCATTTGCGATTGCTATGCTACATAAAGTGAGGATTTTAATTCGTCTATATGACGTTGGTAAGAATTACAATGGGTGTCCCATGCAGCATGATTTACATTAATTTGAACCAGAGAATCCCGTTCCATCATCTTTACACAATTTATACATTTTAATTCATCAACTGAAGCCTTACATTCTTTTACAGCATGTTTTTCTGCACACCTTGGATAATAAATAGTACTACTGGGACAATTTTTTGAAAAATGATTAAAACCATTACATTTATAACACCTCTTAACAGATACACAATCTTAAATAGAGCAAACATCAAAGCCAATAAATAGCTTACCTTCACCATTCGTCATATTATTATATGATGCAACATCAACCTGCAAAGTTGCTTGATAAATTTTTCTATTCTTCTTAGTGCAAGATATATCTAAAACTTTACATTCAATAGAATTAGAACAAAATACAGATTTATTTTGATTTAAAACATAATGTTCAATTTTTCCACTATCTAATTCAGCTGACATTCCTACAACACTTATTTTTGGTTTTATTCCAACCACATCGTTGATTTCATATTTTTCCATTAGATTAGAACCAGCAAGATTTTTTAATGTGGAAACTCCAAATTTAGAAGAGCAACCAATAACTAATCCCCCATCTCTTATATTCTTAACACAGGAGATCTGAATATTGGAGCCTACCGGATCAATCGCATTTAAGGTAGTTCACTCGTAAAACGGCTTTTCTTAAGAATTCAATAAAATTGAAATATAAGGTTAATGAAAGTCTTTTATGTAAATAAAAAAAATTAAATTTTTTGACCGTCTGTGAAACGAGATATTAACAATCAAAATGTGCATAATTAACACTCTTGAAGCTTCTCATGTACACAAGTAATGCATTTATTTCAAGATATCTCGAAAACAGTTCTTACCATATTTTTTAAAAACTAATGTAATGTAAATCAAGCAGTTATAAAATTTTCTAAAGAAACGCTAAATTTTTTGACCGTCTTAGTAAAAAGATATATATTTTTAAAGCAATCGACGCGTAGTTCCGTAAAATTATTACAACTTGGCAATGTTGTATACGCTGCAATCAACGCGTTTTACCAACATAACACTCGATCAGCTAAGAGGATGTTATAACCTCGCGACGTTTTCTTGAAAAATTAATTCTTCCACTGTATTTGAGAACTGGAATCCATATATATAAGATGATATAAGCTTACATGTGTTTTGTACAGTCTCTTACAAAAATAAAATTGATTAGCATTGAGAATCTCGAACTCTTGGTATTCACCATTAAGCGATATTTTTATGTACGACTGTCGCGAGTGAACTACCTTAAAATATCTGCTTTGGTGACATAATTATTTTGAGAAGAATCTTTCGGCTTGATTATAACTGCAGAACTACTTTTAAGTTTCGTGGAGTACAAATTATTATTTCCGGTACCGGATACAGAGGTCGCAGTAGTATTAGAGCATACACTAGCATTCATGTTAATTTCAGTAATTTTTTGAACAGCTGCCATTGTAAGTCTTCTAATCTCGTTGAGACTAATTGTGTTAGGTTTTTGGCAATATCTTCAGTTAGTTTTTTCGCCAGTGATGGAATCTCTTTCATAACCCTTCCTACTCCTTACTCAGCTAAGTTTTTGACAAACTCAGGATTACATGATTTTAGGACTGCATAACAATCAACGCAATACCAACCAAGACCAGGAATCTTACCTAAATATTTTGTAACATCAACTGGTACATTACAGCAGGGCATATGAAATTGTCGTTTACAGACACCATAGCAGGAAAGGGTCGCCGGCGAAGTCCGAGTAAACTTTTCCTTGCACATTCCACATGCCATATCTCTTCTCGCACTTAAAGATTTTCTTATTGTACATTACCAATAAGTGGGTATCTTTGTTATTAACGCCACTTAGAAGTAATCATAAATTAATATACAGGGTGGCTCATGCTCAACGGGACGGAGCTTTATGGGAAAACGACCAAAGATATAAAAAATTCGTTTGGGAGGAATACGTAGGTTACAGACGGCTACAATTTAAAATTTGTTAGATGTATACAGGATGTCCCACATAAGAAAAAAAAATTAGTTCATTAAAAATTATTCAAACAAGAGTAAACAATTAATTTCTGGGAGACTTTTTTTCCTTAAAAATTCAAATAAATCGAAAACTAATAATAATAGTAATAGGGAACCTTTAGTTAACTGACATTATTTTTGATGTAGTTTTTAATTCTAAAATAAAAAACAGGGTGTTCCATTAAAAATAATATAACTTTGTATATTTTCTTTTATGTGGGACATCCTGTATACATCTAACAAATTTTAAATTGTAGCCGTCTGTAACCTACGTATTCCTCCCAAACGAATTTTTTATATCTTTGGTCGTTTTCCCATAAAGCTCCGTCCCGTTGAGCGTGAGCCACCCTGTATACTAACTCACACTTTTTAACAATAAATTATCAGAGCACATTTACGCACGACTCGACAACGCTGATATCGATATTAAATTTTAAGGTTCTGAGAGTTCACACTTGATAAAGATCAGACCATTATAATTAATTCATGATTTTAGAAGCGTTTAGAACAGTTGTTATAATCTAATTAAAATACAAAAAAATGTAATGCTAAATTTTTGTAATATTTTAAAATTTGTTCATCTTTTTTAGGACAAAAGTAAGGAACATACATGACCAACTTAAGTCTGATATTAACTACAACTATAAATCATTGAGTCAGGCCAATAAATTGAACCTGATGGTATATTTAATGGAGAAAGAACATCATTTTACTGGTAATGGAATTTGGGAAAAGGATAAAATGCCTGACCACATTGAAAAATTAGGTTAAATTATTGTATTTATCTATAATAAAATCTTTTACCTGTGTGATATTTTTAATTAATTTAAAAAATTTACGGCAAAACACAATTTTATAATATTTAGAAATGTATTTTGGAAAAACGATTAAAAAATATTAAATTATAGATTAGGTTAAATAAATCGAAACTTTGATCAGGAAAAAAAAATTAACAAATCATTTATTTTAATACGTTACAAAATGAAAATGATTTTAAATACATTAAAACTTTTTAACTAATGTAAATATCAAAACTCATTAATAAATTAACATCATTTTTTCCAACGCTTCACAATATCTCCATGATTATATCTTACGAGATTTCCTACAGGATTTTCTAGAATTATGGTACCATTGAAACCGTTTTCTTCAAAATTGACAAATTTGCAAAAAGGTGCAAACGTGCCATCAGGTAAATTCGGTTTTTTACCAACCGGTACCACAAAAATTACTTGACCATTCAAATCTTTTAAATTCTTACTAGTTAGGATGTTTCCATTTTTCAACAGCAAATCGAAATCGTTAACACTAAACAAACGGGTTATCTCAATTTTCAAATTTTCTAGAGTAATTAGCGAATTTCCGGCTTGCAATAAAATTAAACCTTTGGTCGCTTCCTTGCAATATTTCGGTTTGATATCGATTAATTGTATATTTGCCCAATTAACTAAAGGCAATTTAACATCATTGTTTCTCGTTAACACAGTGTGAATTTCAAAGTCTTTTAATTTTTGTTTTTCTTCAATTATGATTTCATCCGAAGTTCGTTTTTGAGACAGCTCTTTGAAAGGCGTTTTAAGCGTGTTTTCTATAAATTGCGTATATTCTTTAGCCACTCTGTTCAAATCTCCAGTAGCCATGTAAAATACAGATATTTCGTCTGTAGGTACGAGATGAGCTTTTTTCCTAAGTTTCTGCACTCTATTGATGATCTCCCTAGCTGTACCTATAATAAAAAATATTATTAATCTATTGTTGCTCTTTCATTAAAAAATATATGAGACAAATCAGTTAGTTAACGAACAATTAAAATAATTTGACACTCAAAGTGAGGAGAGCGTGTTCGTAAACGCATCAGAATAGATAATACTAGATCTAGATAAGTCAATCAATCAATCAATCAACATGTTTATTGTCAAAGCTACAAGAACTTATAGACAAACACTTATAAATATAATTATTATGTAGTACTAACAATTACATGCATAAAAATTTAAAAATTGTATAAAAACGTTAAATATAAAATTAGAGGTTAATTACAAATACAAATACGTAACACAACATCGATAAAATTATATAAATACAAAAACATGTACGTTCAAACAGTCACAACGATTTAAGAGTCATTGTAAAATTCCGTCAAAGCATAATATGCTTTTGTCATCAACATATCTCTAAGCAGTATTTTAAATGTTGTGACCGTTTCCGTCGATTTAATATCATTTGGCAACTTATTGTACATTTAAATCCCATTATAAATGAAAGAGCCCCTTACCAGTTCAGATTTGGGTATGGACAACCGCAGGTTGTCAACTTGTCGCGTTAGCCGAGCGTTAGTATTGGCATAGTTCGATTTATTTTTATGTATAATACAAGTGGTTTCAAGAATGAACAACGATGTTAATGTTAAAATTTCATGTCTAATAAAATGTGGCTGACATGACTCAAGCTTGTTCATTCCACATAAAAATCGTATTGCTCTCTTTTGCAGACAAAAAACAGTATTGAATAATTCGCGGCTGCAACCTCCCCAAAATGCAATTCCATATCTCAAATGGGACTCAACTAGGGCGTAATACACACTTGCTGCCTTAAAACCTAGTTCTTTTGCCACAGTTCTGACTGCAAAACATCCAGAAGAAAGTTTTCTGTTTAGCAATTCTATATGGTTTCTAAATTTCAAATTATTATCTAAATTAATTCCCAGAAATTTTATTGTGTCAGTACATTCAATAATATGACTTCCCAACTGAATATTTGGTAGGGAACATTTAAGGGTTAGCATTTTAGTTTTTCCCATATTAAGACGCAAATAGTTGGCATCGCACCATGCTTTGATTTTCTTAATGTCACAGGATATGGTGTTGTATAGGACAGAAGTGTCATTGCTGTGCCATAAAATCGTAGTATCATCTGCAAATAGAGTGAAAGTACCTGCAATTTCAAGTTGAGCTAAGTCATTCACATAAAGGAGAAATAAAATGGGACCTAACACAGAACCCTGAGGGACACCCCAACTAATATCTAAAACTTGAGAATCCTGAGACGCTCTTACCATTTGCTTACGTTCTGAAAGATAAGATTTTACCCAACTCAGCGCTCCGTTTTTGATCCCGTAAACTCGAACAGTACTGTATGATTGACGCAATCGAACGCCTTAGTTAAATCACAGATATCGCCGCTACAGAATCGTCAACATTAATTCTAGAATAAGCATGTTCAAGATAAGAAAATATCGCATCAGAAGTACTTTTGTTCCTTTGAAAACCAAACTGTTGTGTTTCCAGCAATTTGTGAGTTTCTAGATAACGAATCAAACGTTTTTTTACAACTTTTTCAATAATTTTGGCCACTGTAGGAATGAGAGATATAGGCCTGAAGTTCGAAGGATCGTAGTTACTGCCGCCTTTATGTATGGGAACAATAACACTGGTCTTAAGAAATGACGGAAAATTTGATTCGAAGAAACTTCGGTTGATCAGACTAGCAAGGACTAACATTGCTGATTCAGGAAGGTTTAGGATAACTCTAATAGAAATATCATCATAACCAGCAGCATTTTTGTTTTTAATATCTGAACATATTTCCATTATTTCAAAACATGTTGTAAAACTTAGAGTAAAGTTGGAGTTAACATGGGTATTTTTTAAATAATCTAAAGGATCAACTGACGATCTGAAATTATTAGTCAGATTTTCAGCAATTGAGCAATAATACTGATTAAATGTTTCTGAATCGATGTAGTTCTTAACGGATCTGGAATTTTGTTTATTTTTCAATTCATTAATAATATTCCAAGTTTCTTTAACTTTATTGTTAGATTTTTTAATTCTAGAATAATAGTATATGTCCTTAGCTTTTTTAATAACAGCCCTATATATTTTCCTGTAATGGAGGTAATAGATTAAAAAGAATTCATCTTGGACATATTTTTTAATGTAATGGAGGGATCGCATATTTTTTGCTAAACACCTTATGCCTGAGGTCCTCCAAGGTTTTTTATTTTTTATATTAATTTTTCTAATGGGAAAACCGGATTCAAAAAATTTGCACAAATTATGGTAAAATGCTTTAAATGGATCATCAGACAACATGCAGCTATGCCAATTAAAATTATGGCTGCTTAATCTAAATTTATCATAATTAGGTTTGCTAAACATACGACCATCTGAATTTCATTTTCCTAAGCTTCGTATCGAGAGGCGTTGAGCACAAAACAACCTCATGATCAGATAACGAGATGGAATTGACTGAACACAGAATATTACTGTCCAGAAAAGAGGAGCAAAAATAGTCAATCAACGTTTCACTATTATTAGTGATTCGAGTAGGATCTTTGACATGCATATTTAGATTAAAAGATAATAAAAGATGAGAAAGATTTATTATATTATTATCATTTTGAACACGAAAATCCATGTTAAAGTCTCCGGTCAAAATAATTTTAGATGAACTTGGTATCTTAGATAATAAGCATTCCAATTTATTCAAAAATATTGGAATACTGGTGCTTGGAGATCTGTAAATACAAATTATGAAGATATTTAACTTTTTAATATTAATAATGGAAAACTCGAATTGTTTCTCCTCAGCTAAATCTTGGTATTTTACTTCGTTAAACTCCAAACTGTGAAAGAGGGAGTCGTGTATTAATACTGCCGTTCCTCCGTATTCAAACATCTCTCTGCAAAATATACTAACCAAATTATACTCTGGTATGCACAGATGTTCATGTTTTTCTAGCCAGTGTTCTGTGAGCAAAAGAACTAGCGGAAAATGAAACTGTTCCATAAACATAAATAACTCATCTATCTTGTTACGGACCGACCGAATATTTAATAGTAAAAATGTTAAGGACTTTTCTGAGTTGGCGAGTTGACTGTTTCTAAAAAAGGGGAATTTTGACTATTATTTAATTCAACAACTCCGCCAGCCATACTTTCTTTGTTATTGCTATCTAACTGAGCATCTTTTTCGCACCTATTTTTAGAGTCAATTTTTTCAGTTATATTAGATGATAATTTAATTGAATTTTTTATGGATAAAATAGGTGCGTTGACTATTTGGCTGTTAGTTTGATCATTAGTTTGATCACTAGTTTGATCCAGCGCATGGTCATGTTGGAAGTCAAGACTGTTTTCCGAATTTAAGTCGGCGTTTCTTATAATAGGTTTATGAAAATACGACAAATACTGATCACATATATGTTTAACTAGCAATCTTTTGCTATGAAAAGGAATGCCACCAAAAGGAATTTTGTCACTCTTTTTTACAAAATTATCAGAAGGGACAAACGAGCATGTTTTTTTGTTGAGTTTGTGTATTGTTTTGTGAAGATTTAAGTTTAATTCATAAATAAATTTATTAAGCACGCTTCTATTATGAACATACGCTGGACCTACAATTATTAAATTAGAGTACTCCGCTACACTTAATAATTCATTAACAATTGGTAGTTTACATTTAAAGCTATCAGTATTTCCGATAAGAGTGACGATACAGTCAGACATGGTAAAATGTTTACTTAATATTTTTACAGTTTTTGTTATATCTTCGACTGACATATTCTTACGGTACTGAAAATTGATGTCATATTTGGCTCCCAACACTCGCTTAAAGAGTAAGCCACAACTTTTAGCGCAATATTGATCGCCAACTATAAGAAGCTGAGGTTTTTTCTGATTGTTATCTGAATATGTTTTAACACTTTTCATGTCATTACTTTTAGAAACATCATTACTTTTGTAGTGGTCTAATTCAACTCTTAATAGTTTTACTTCACTTATGAATCCAGTGTTTTCTGTTTCGAGGGTGGAGATAGTAGATACCATATTCCTACTTATCAAGTTTAGATCTTCAATATCTTTCATGAGTTTACTACTGGTCGTCTTCTCATCTTCAATTTGATTTTGCAATGTTTGGATTTTATTCTTTAAATCGGAAATTTCATTATTTCTAAGCTGAGTCAAGTCCTTAGCTTCTTGATATTTATCCACATACATCTGTTCTGTGTAAAATACTTCATCTTCGAAATCACGCGTGTGTCTTTGCAATCTTTTTATATGTTGCAAACGGTCATCAGCATCTCTTTTGAGATTGGATATTTCTTTGTTTAAGTCTTCAATTTTAGTTTCTTCTTCAAGTGCTTTATCTTGGCATTCAGTTGAACAATATATTTTGTGAGTACCTAGTCTCACCACATTTTTTCTCCTTTCTAAACAGCTTGAGTGAAACACATCATGACAGATAATACAGTAAAAATTTGAAAGTGTTTTATTTTTACAGCAAGTAAATATTGGTATCATTTTTCTTAATTAATCTTTTTTAAATCTTTTTTAAATATGGATAAAATCTCCGTCCAAATATAGATGAACTATCAATTAATTTTTACCAATGTGCAGTTGGTCAAATAGCCACTGCCATTTAAGGTTTATTCATAAAGCCCATTAATAAATATTAGAGATAAGATGACCACTTTTTGTTGTTTTTCTTTTTATATTTTAGTGGAATGTTAATAAATTTGCTTGCACTTACATTGACAAATCACAATTGCATTACGGTATTTCGCATTATTAATATGTGTTGTTACTACATCACTTTCTGCACTTTCCACTGATATAAAATTTAACTTTTTCTTGTAATTTTAACATTAAATATGTACAATTATATAGGAAATGTCATTAAAACGTCCACACGAGCTGGAGGTCAACTCTTATACTTGTAACT